GGGGGGGGGGGGGGAGCGGCGGCGCCGCAGCCCGGCGGTGCGACTGGGCGTCTCCTGACGAATCTGGCTGGCTGACAATGTCGGCGTAATTGCATATGGCGTGATGCCATCATTGAGGAAGCAAGGCCCCCGATGCCGGCTTGGTGCAGGGGGCGCGGCCCGCGCCTCGCGATGGAGGTGCCCAAAAGCGCGCCCCCCGCGAAGCCGAGCGGCGCCCGCGCGGCCAGCAGCCGCACGCGCACGCGCGCGCGGCGGCGGCGCTCAGGCCTTGACGCGGCGCGCGCAGCGCAGCCACATGCCGCCCTCCACTTTCAGGGTGAGTGCCAGCTTGGTGCGGCCCTTGATGGAGGCCGGGGTCCCCATGCGCTCCGCCAGGCGGTACCTGTGGCCAGGGTTCAGGGTTCAGGGTTCCGGGCTTAGGGCTTGGGGCTTAGGGTGCAGGGATACCAGATTGCTCAGGGCGACCACTGATTATGGTGGCGGCCAACTTGGGTTGCAGCAGACAGCTGCTGCAGGTTTGCTGCTGCTACGGTAAAGGCGCATCCGCGGCATGCACACAAAGCGCTCGCCGCCAGCCGCGGTTCCCTTGCGTGGGCGCGTCGCCGAACAGAAGCAGGGGTGAGCGCATTCCCAGGGGTCGCGTCGCGCGACGCCGCATGGAAGCAAGGCGCAAGGGAGGGGCCCCTGCTCACGTGAACGTGGAGAGCAGCGCAGCTGCGGCGGTGCGCACCGCCACCAGGCCCAGCGCCCCGCCGATGCAGGCCTGGTCGGTGTTGCGGTGTTGCGCGCATTGATTTGGTGTACTGAGTGAGGTTGGTGCGCACTGAACGCACGAGCACGGCGGGTGGGATGAATTGTTCGCGTGGGTGCGCCCTGCTGATGTGGCATCAAGGGAGTTTGATGCCGCTACTTTCGTCTGCGAGGCACCGGCGCGCAGCCCAGCGCAACGAGGCCACTGATCCAGTTGCTCCGCCCCGCCCCTCGCTGCGTGACAAATGCTTTGCGGACGTGCCGCTGCCGACGCCGCACCGCGGCCGCGCTCTCACTTTGGGGCCGGAGCTGAAGGGCAGGAAGCGGGGCGCGCCTGTCTTCTGGTCGATGGCGGGGTCGGGGTCACCTGGGCTGACCAGCCAGCGCTCGGGCTTGAACTACGCTCAGGGTTTTTGGGGTGGCGCACAAATGGGGCACAAAGGGGACAGCAATTGAGGGAGGCGTTGTTCAGTAGTGCTGATGGCACGCGGATTCGCTTCTCGCAGTTGCACATCAGGGCCCTTTGCATCGGACCCTGCAATTTCCAACGCGCTGGTCCTGTGTCGATTTCATAAACGCCAGCTGGCCGAGCCAGGTCGCCCCGCAGCACCCAGGTCACCTAGTGACCCCTTGACTCCCCACGACCCGGCCCCCTCCCGCCCCACCCTGCGCGGCTCCTCCCAGTTGCCGCTCCAGTTGTTGATGACGTAGAGGCAGGGGAACACCATCACGCCCTTTGGTATCATGTAGGGCCCCACCTTGGTGGGCTTCTCGGTCAGCCTAGGTGGGGCAGAGCAGAAGGCGGGGGGGGGGGGGGACATGGTTTGAGTATGTGGTTGTGTGCGTGTGTGTGTGCGTGTGTGTGTGTGCGTGTGTGTGCGTGTGCGTGCGTATATCCTCTGTGTGTTTCTCATGCAGGATGATTGGCACCCCATGGATCTCGAACGCCCTTGTGGTTTTGGCTGATGGCGGCCGCAAAGTCACACGCACACACACACACACACGCGCACACACACACACACACACACACACACACACACACACGCACACACACACACACGCGCATGCACGCGCGCACACACACACACACACACACACACACACGCACACGCACACGCACACGCACACACACGCACGCACAGACATGCACACACACATGCACACACAGACATACACACAAACGCTCTCTCTGCCTCACATCAACACACGAACACACACACACATGTGCGCGCAGGACCTACTTGAGGTAGTTTATGAGCTCCGACACGGTGGCGGTCCGCCGCGTGCCGCCCGGCAGCTCCACCTCCACTCCTGTTTGAAATTCAAAACGCAGGTGGCGATGATGAGGGGCCGGTTAGCAGTGCTGCGCTGCATAAGGCAGGGTTGCTGCAGAGGCTGCATCTTGAAGCTGTAAGCACGCAACATCGTGCGCGAGCCCGCCCGATGGGTGCGAAGCCTTGATACAGGTGCTCACGCACAAGGCTGAGCGCTGCTCTTGGTTCGGTTCGGAGGGCGGCGCAACAGACTCAGCGAGCCGGCTGGTGCGAAGGGGTGCGCCCGGCCCGCCGTTTCCAGCCAGCTGTGCGGACACCCTCCTCTTCTACCGAGCAAACACGCAGGGAGGAAACACGCAGGGGAAGGCCCCAGCCCCCCGCGTTAAACACATACACATGTGACCACGCGTATGCATGCACTACTTGCCGAGCATGCGCATACGCACGTGCACACGCAGACACACAGACACACACACACACACACGCACACACACATGAATGGATGCACTCACACACACATAGTCACACACACATGCATGCACATACACACACACACACACACAGCCCCGCCGCCCCCTCTCACCCGGCATCTTCAGCGCCATCGCGTCCACCCCCTCCCCCAGCAGCGCCCCGGGGATCTCCACCGCCCCGCTCTCGCGCTCTTCGAAGAACAGGGGCCGAGCCAGGTCGCCGTCAAAGGTCACGAGAGCGTTGGGATGCAGCGCGTCGACGCGCAGGAAGACATTGCCCGCCAGGTCCTGGGGCTCGACAGAGTCGACGGCCACCTGCATTGGGGGCCGCATGCGGGATTGCATGTGTATGTTGGTACAATGTCGAGGCGCCCAGGCGTGTCCAGGAGGGGGGTGTCGCAAGTGCGACGGAGGGCGGCGGCTCGGCGGTTGGTGGGGTTTGGCTGCACGCTGAGCAGTCAGAGCCGCAGCCGTGCCCCGGGGGTTGCGTGCGGGCGGCTTGAACATGGGATGTGGGTGCATTTGCGGGCAGCTGGGGTTGAGCGTCGTTTGCTGCTGGTGCGGGCGTGAAAGTGAGGGGGCAAGCCTGCATGGGCCGAGCGCTCAGGTGCATGGGCTGCAGCCAGTGCCCCTTGCACGCCATGGCGGATGGAGGCAGCTGGCGGCGACTGCCGCGAGCCGTTGCATGTTTGGTTGAACGCAGCTAGGCATCGTGCAGTTGCGGCGGGGCCGCCCGTTCTTCGCGTGTGGCCGCACGGGCGCGCCGCAGCGGAAAGCGATTGCTGGATGAGCACGCCCTGACCACCCCAATTGATTCAGATCGGAGCCGCGCCGGCCCGGGTGCTGTGCCGTTGGCGATTTTCCACGCGCACGCCCCGGCAAACCTTCGAGCGCTTGCTGCTTCCCGGGTAGTATGGCTCGTCATCTGCGTCCTCACTCTTGACGGAGCGTTTGCCACGCGGCGCCGGCTGCTGCTGCCGCTCTGCGAGCTCCGATGCAATGATCTCGTAGGGCAGGCCCACAGCGCGGTTCGGGCGCGGCTCGCGCTCCGCCGCCGCGTCCGACGGTGCCGCGGCTGGGTAGCCTTCGGTCTCAGGTGGCAATGAAGCTGAAGCATCGCCTTGAAGGGCCTCGGAGTCGGGTTCCATGGCCTCGCCGACGCCTCTATGAGCGACGCTGTCGTGGAAGGCACGTCTACGACGCGCGGAGCGACATGGATGAGAGCCTACAGAAGTAAGTGGATGCTCTTTTTATAGAAAGTACGGCGGCGTATGCAGCGCGGAGATAAACGCGATCTGTGTGAGCTCGAGGCAGGCGTGTGCTAAGGAAAAACAAATGCTTTCAACTTAATGTCACATGCACGTGGCATTCAGCTGCTGCACCAGCAAAACTGGGATCTTTGATCGGCGCGCGCCTTTTGCTTGAGCGGCGTCCTCTGGCAGAAATCAGATCCCTGCGCTTTCATGCGTTGTGCGGCGTGCTCGCGATATTATATCACGCCCTTCGGACCTGAGGGCCGCTGCGGGCCCCTTCGCAGCACAAAGATAACTGCTCACACAGTTGCTTGCCGCGGGGTCGCGGTCGCACGTTGTTGCAGGGCATGCGAATGGACACTGCAAAGACTAGTATGGTTATTCATGTTGCTGTGTGCTGCTTAGCTTTGACAAAATGAGTACGGCAAGAAGTGTTGCAGGTTGTCAAAGGGATTGGGCCAGCACAATCCGTGTGTAGCGTCATTTGAGCAGCGGGAACCCGCTGTTACAGAGGCAATGGCTTGTGCACACGCACACTGTTTGCACTAATCAAGGACGCGGCTGTTCCATGAAGATCCTGTGTCCTCCCTCAGGCTTGTTGTTTGGGGGACGACATGGGGACAGAATGCGCCCACGCTCTGCACTAGGGTTTTGCTTGTTGGCGTTCCTGGTTTGGATACTCAACAATAGTCTGTTATCTATCCATTCTGACCTCTAATGCCTCCTGAGGTACCTGGGCGGTAATTTGCAGCCATGAGGGCGTGCCAAGCAAGCGAGGTGTTTGACCAGCTCACCAGCTAGCAGATGGAGCCCATCAAGCCGTGCACCACAACGCTCTGCCGTCCATGCTGTACACATGAACGACTCATGTCACAGCATGATTTCAATGGCTGTTTGGTTGCCTTACATCGCAGCTGTAAGAGCTAGCCAATCAAGCCCCACCCTCAGCAGACCGAGGGTGCGTGGTGGGCATCGCGGACGGAAGCGGTTGCGAGCGGTTGAACTGAACACACGAGTTCTGGGGCTTACTCAAAGCCTGGGAACGGGGTTTCTCAGTGTTGCACCTGAAGGGCTTGTTACCAGCACAGAAGCTCAATAAGATTTTGTCTGTGTGCCACATTTGCTCGTAGTCATGGTCACCAGGTGGATTGCGCTGCAACGCTACAAAGCATGCATTTGTGACCCGTGGTGCTATCATAACGACCAATCTCGCGATTGTATCATTGATATCCTCGCGCATAGTGATATCTCGTGCAGAAGGCCGCGGATAGAACTCTACATTCTGATCGTCAGTTGGTGCTAGCCTGCAATAACACGTTATTGCTGGTACATGTTCGAATTAGTGGTTCCCTGAGCTGCGCGTCAGTGCAGTACGCATCGCACCAAGCACGCAGCAGCTGCAGGGCGCGTCAGCTGCCCCGCTGCACTTGACAGATGCACCCGGCGGCGCCGCACCCGGCGCAGCCCCGCGCCGCCGCCGCCGCCGCCGGCCGCGCGCGCGTCGCCGTGTACCGCGGCGAGGGCGCCGGCTGGCGCTCGGTGCAGTCTGCCGTGGCGTCGATCTCGCGCCTGCTGCCCCCTGATCGCTTCCTTGTCGATACAATGGCGACGCGCGAGCTTCTGGCGGGCGGCTGGCAGGCGCGCGTCGCGCTGCTGGTGATGCCGGGCGGCGCGGACCTGCCGTACTGCAAACACCTCAATGGCGCGGGCAACGCGCTCATCCGCGGTGCGGGCGGATTGGTGTTTGCGAGGGGGGCCGCGATCCCACGGTCAGGGTGCGGCGTCGCTGCTGAACCCGGCTGCGATGGGCAGCAGCTGGGCGCCATGGTGGGACGCCCATTCAAGCCAGCACAGCTGCGTCTATTTAATATGGAAAAAGGGCCCTGGGCTACGGGCAGACGGCGGAGCGTCTTCAAACATGTGCGCTGACCGCAGGCACCTCGCTCGTGGTGTTTTAGGGTGCCGCTGGCCAACAGCCCACTGCCGCCGCTCTCCGCGCTCCTTTAAATGGAACATTCCCTGACCCCTCCACAGACTATGTCAGCGGCGGCGGCAGCTACCTGGGGATCTGCGCAGGCGCCTACTACGCGTGCGCCCGCGTAGAGTTTGAGGCCGGCAGCGCGATGGAGGTTATCGGGGAGAGGGAGCTCTGCTTCTTCCCGGGGGTGGCGCGCGGCGCGGTCGTGCCAGGTGGGGGCAACCGCCGTGGTACCAGTTTGACTGCAATGGGCTGACAGTGCAATGCGTGCTTGAAATGGCCTTGCTGCAGTTTTCGATGCCAGGGGGCCACTAGTCAACAATATGCAGCGTGAGTGCCTAGCCGCATGGGCTCGCAAATGCACGGCCCAAAACAACTGTCTGTGCAGGGTTTGACTACCAGACGGAGCGCGGGGCGGCGGCGGTGCCGCTCGAGTTCTTGGGCCCTGAGGACGTGGAGCAGCTGCTCGCAGGGCGGCGGCGGCAGCAGCAGGAGCAGCAGCAGCAGGAGCAGCAGCAGCAGCAGCAGCAGAAGACGCAGCAGCCGCAGCAGCAGCAGAGGCAGCAGCAGCAGCATCTTGCAGCAGACAGCAACCCACCACAAAGCACCAGCAGCAATTGCAGCATGCCAACCAGAGAGTGCAGCGGCCGCAGCAATAACGCCCATACTGATGTCAGCAGCAGCAGCAGGTGGCGGCATGCAATAGACTACTGCAACGGCGGCCCCTTCTTTGTGGCGCCCGATGGAGCGGCAGACTGGGACAAGGGCGGGCTGCCCGGCGTGGATGTGCTGGCGCGATATGTCGACCTGCCCCAGGGCGCGTTGACGCGCGTTCAGCCGAGACAAGCGGCGCAGGAAGCAGAGCAGCAGCGGCAGCAGCAGCAGCAGGAGCAGGAGAAGGAGGAGGAGGAGGAGGGGGAGGCGGCCGGCAGGGAGACGTGCGCGGTGGCGGCAGTGCGCTGCCAAGTGGGCGCGGGCGCGGCGGTGCTGTGCGGGACGCACCCAGAACTTGAGCCGTCGTGGCTGGACCCCTGCGGCGTGACACCTGGATGCCCAACCGCAGCGCCAGGCGCGCCTGAGCTTGCAGTTCCTGCGAAGGCTTGCGTGGCCCAACAGGATCCTTCCCTGGCCTCGCCGGAAGTTTTGAATGCGGCAGCCGTAGCACCGCCAGGGCTGACCAGCCGGCCGGCGGGCCTGGGGCTGCTGAGCGCGGACGCGGCACCCCCAGCGGCAGCCCTGAAGTCAGCAGCAGCGGCGGCGGGGGGGTCGTGCTCCGACCGTGCGCTCGCAATACACACGGCAGAACTGCGTTCTGCGCTTTTGGCGGAGGGGCAGAGGGATGAGCTGTTGCAAACACTTGTAGTGGCGGCATTGCTGCATCAAGGTCAATTGAGGGAAGTGTCAGTGGGGTAGGCGAGGCTCCCTGCTGTGTTGTTCCTTACTGTCAAGTGTCATGACGCCGCGATGCGCATGCCCTTCCGCCGCACATATGCGCAGGTGTGGTTCGGGCTGCGCTGTGCGGTCGCACTGCCGTGTCTAATTTGCTGGCAGTGAGCAGATTACAACCAACGCTTGCTCGTGCGCACATGTGCATTTATTTTTTGCAAGTGCGTGCTTAAATGACAGTGCTTTGCTTTGAAACAAGACGAAATCAGCGCACAGCAAACTCCTGCTGCACAGCAGCACCAGGACGCTGCAATTGCATGCAAGCAACGCGTGTAAAAAATCTGCTCTGTTGCCGTAGACAAGGGTGATTGCACATACAGACACGCAAGATGATGTCTTGATACAGGCTTACCACTTGAAGTACTGTATCAGGACAGTTTCCATGTCACTCCCCAAGTGCGCAATCTGAAGTATACGTCGTCTATTGCGTCAAAACCCACCTGTTAATGAGCGACCAAAGGGCACGCTTTGCTTCACTTGTATGAATGCTTGTGAAACCTTTCCAGCATTGCACAAAATGCCCACCCTGCATGTGTTGCGCAGTGCTGCATGCTGCGACCGAAGGGAGCATTTCGCTCCGCCCGGCTGTCCAAGGGGGCAACGACGGGGCAACCCAGATCTCACCTTGAGCTCGCCGTTGTCTCCAAACATTGGCCCATTGAAGTACCTGCAAGCAGTCAGCGCAGGTTGAGCATACTTTACGAGCAGCAGCTACCCTCTGCAACCATGACTGGAAGCAAGGGCTGTGATTGTGATTGCCAATGCCTGATCACTCAGCAACAGACATGAAGTGGTTTTTTTTTATTGTTTTTATGTGCTAGCTCCTTCACAACAGTACATGCAGTGATGAAGGAAAAATGGATATGGCTGCTCACTGTATGATCCAGTAGCGTTCTGGGATTGAGTAGCCAACAAGAAGCACAGGAGACCCGAACACGACTTTGGTGGAGGCGCCTTTCTTGCGGCGGTAGATGACGCGGTCGGCGTCCTTGACGTTGTATCCAAACAGAGGCATGCGATATAAATCTTCATACACGGTCAAGCCTGTTAATACAGAGCCGTATTCGGATATGTGGCGTTGCACAGCCGCAACGCTCGACAGCCGGACGAACCCAAATTTTCCTCGTGCAGCCGCTGCACTTGTGCTGCTGCAGCGCCGAGCCCGCTGGCACAGGTCAGATCGCTTCAATGCAGTCTTGAAAAGCTGGGGACTTGATGGCATGCAATTTTCAAGTAGCAGCGGCCGCTTGAGAAGGCTTGGCAGCACCGCCTCATAATCAGTGGTCAACCGACACGTAGTCAGGAGATCATTTTTGTCCCCCTCTACGCAGAACTGGAGGTCGAGAAAGCTCAAGCGTCCGACACTGGATACATACGTGTTGAGTTTGCTTGCGACAGCCGCTTCCGCCGCCACCGTCACAAGCGCTGCGACGGATGTAGTGCAATTGCCAACGTTTTTGGCTGGACCCACTACTCGCGCCAGAAACACCTGGGGGAGGAATTCTGCAGGGGGAGTCCAGGACATGTGCACAGGAGAGGAGATATATTTCCAGGATAGTCTTTCAGATTTGTCATCCAACATGTTTGTGCATGGTGTTCAGGGCAGTTGCTTTGCAGGTAATCCGCGCAATCCCTTCACGCACCTTGGACAACTGGCGTTGACGAGCGCGGCGCCGGCGTCGGCGTGCGCGTGCTCACAGTGATCCCATTGGCGTCCTGGACGGTCCAAGCGCTACTGGGGCGGATCTGGCACACTAGCAACGACTTGCCCAACAGCCAAGAGTCCATTTTAGGAATGCGGCCCACATTGAGCTGCAGGAATTCTTGAATTGTCAGCCCAAATCGCGCCGCCACGCGTGACACGAAGTCGCCCTTCTGGCCTTGGTATGTGAAGCAGCCCTCTCCTGAGGCCGCGGCGCTCTGCACCCGCAGCAGCCCCGGCCGGGGTGGGCTTTGAGGTTTGAACGTCAATCCATAGGTTGACGCCGCCTCAAGGAGGCCAGGGGTGCCATACTTGACCCAAGCGTAGCCCTTGTCGCCCCATGTTGTCCCCCTGGGGAAGAAAAGTGCAAGCAGCAAGCCGCAGTTTTACTACACAAAGGATCCACAAATGCAGGCATACGTGCAGGATGGGACGATTATGAAGTAGGGAGGATGGGAGATGGGGAATGAGAGGTGCAGGGGGAGAGGATGGACGGGGGGGGGCCTCCAGGGGAAGAGAGAGGGCGAATGAGTCGAGCAGAATTGGAGCCAAGTTGCTACCGTATGCAGGGATCAAGGGCACTTGCGCAAGGAGGCCAGCGCCTCCCGCCGGTATCGCCCGACCCCCGCCACCTCCACCATCACCGCCATCACCATCACCACCGACTGCCACCAAAAATAACTTGGCATGCAGGGTTCTGGACCCAGTGCCGCAAGGGAGGTAGCCGACAGATTACGCAAAAAAAAAACGGTTATCAAGATTTGCTGCAGGACTGGTGTGTGTGCGCGTGCGTGTGTGTGTGTGTGTGTGTGTGTGTGTGTTTGTGTGTGTTTCTATGTGTGTGTGTTTGTGTGTGTGTGTTTGTGTGTGTGTTTGCGTATGTGTGTGCGCGCGTGTGTGCATGTGAGCACGCACGCATGCCTGGCTAGACATGTCCGGGTTATACTCAGTTGTGAACGCATGGTAGCCCAACTTACCAGCTGTTTTTGACCCAAAAGGCTTCTCGTGTGTTGTCATAGCCTGTGAGCGGGGCATGCATTCGCCATGCACACACTTGTGTATCTAGATGTCCTACGTTCTGCCTCAACTGGGCTGCTGGCTTGATCTGTTGCAAAGACTTGTGAATCCTAGTGCGTGCGGGCATTCTCAGGCCCATCGCGTCGCGACCATGGTGACATATGGCGCTCGCACCAACAAGGGCGATGGCGTGTCCAAGAGAAGTCGGATTCTTTTTGACTTCATCGTTTGTGATCTGATAGACGGAAACAGATGGATCTTTGTCGTCGAAGTAATTCATCAAATGGCTGCCGTGCAAGTTGATGCGTGTAATGACGGCGCCATGGTTCCTGAGAGTGAAGTGAGGGAGATGCCATGCTTTGTAATTGTAAATGTTTTGCATATTTCTGTCTCTAATGAAAAATGTGCAGTATTCTGATTTTTATAATGGGCCCTTGACAAACGATAGGTCTCCCTGAAACTAGCCAATGCTTGAAAACAAAGCCCAACAACGACTGTGTGTAGGACGGCTTTCCAGCTACATTTGTGTGAACAATACATACTGAACCATTTTTCTGCAGAACGACACTTGATTGAGGATGCTGCACAAGCTGTTCACAAATACCTGATGTGGTCTTGCACATCTGGAATGGTTGCAAGCGGCTTCGACCGTGTGTAGTCAAAGGTGCCACCTGGGAGCTTATCTTTGCAGGGGCGTTTGCACTCCTCTGCAGGCAACAGGGCGAGTGGTGACACAGAGAATGAGCTTGCAAGATCTGTCATTAGAGCGGACGCACTGCTGGTGCTGCCAGTCCTGAGATGCATTGCACCTTACTGCCTGGCAAATCCAATGGCATAATCTGTTGTGAATGCCAGGGCCCCAGCATCAGTTGTTGCACATCACAGCAACTCAATGTGTGATGGCGTGTGTCAAACACGCAGGATTGCAGCAAACAGCCCGTGCCCTCCTGCATGCAAATCGAAGGAGTTTGATTTGAATGGGGCTCACCGCGTGCGCTTTGCAATGTTGAAGGGTTGAGCGGTTTGCAGCTGCGAGGTTCCAGCACGCTTAGACCGCTCAGCCCTCTCATCGCGTCTACCACCCTCCAGCCACCGCGGCAGGTGTTGGGAGAGTTTGGCAGGCACGAGAAGACCTGCAACTCGCTGACGGCCAGCCCGGCGTCTAAAGCGCTGACGCGCAGGGCCGCAGACATCGTCGCCTCTGCCACCGCTGCAAGCGCGTACGCGGTGCACGAGTCGCACTTTCCCTGCAGGGATTGTGCACATGTGTCACGGCAATTGCGTACTCGCAACTAACCAGTGCCACGATTGCATCAAACCTGCTGACAAGCCGTGTGTTGAAGCAAATGATTTGAGCTCGCATAGGCGAGTCCCGCCAGTGGGGACAAGGTCTGCAGCACCAAATTCGCATCAGGCAGCAATTCCCATCACCTGATTCTGCGCTTGAGTGGTGAAATCAAACCCTCCAGTGTCAGAGGCCTTGTCAGACCTAAGGGTGAGCCAGCCCAAAGTGGAGCAGTGGGTGAATGGTGACGAAGGCCTCGCAACATGGTGGATGAAAAGCATTTCCAATTTCTGAACACGTTTGCTGAACACGTGCGCACGTGCGCACGTGTGTGTGTGTGTGTGTGTGTGTGTGTGTGTGTGTGTGTGTGTGTGTGTGTGTGTG